GCACCCTTGTCAAAAATCAGTTGTCCACACGTGTCTGGGAATTTGGGCCCAACCTCAATTAAGCTTTGTTTTTATTCTTTACTCCAATATCACTGTAACGGTAGTGTGTTTTGAGGCTGGTTACTGTGAGTTCTCCAGCTTTTAAAATTCTTTGGGCTGCTTCTAAGTGCTTTGCTTGTCCATATACACTTTAGAATCTTCCTGAAGTTTTTGCTCGGGATTGCATTGAATCTATAGCGCGTGGTGGGCCATATTGACATCTTGTTAAATCCTTCATTTCTTTGTTCTCAGTGTTCATTTGAGGAACATGTTTTATAAACATTTTTCTTAAGAATTCCATGGTTTTTTATGCTATTATAAACAGTCTGTTTTTAAAATATATTTCATCTAGTTGTTTATATAGAAACAATGAAATACAATTGGTTTTTGTTACATTGACTTTCTATCCAGAAACTTTGTTAATTTTACTTATTGGTACAGTAGCTTTTCTGAAGACTCCAGAGGATTTTCTGATTGAGTTGTGGGAATATTAGCTTCTAGGTCAAAGTGTTTAAAGTGTTTCCAATACATATTTATGTGTAATGACAAGATGATTGTTGAAATTTCATCACCTTTCTTTTTTAATCTTTATCAAAGCAATGATTGATAATAGTATTTTAGCCCTGACCAAGGGTGGCTCAGGGTCACCGGGCCAATTTCCAGTCTGGGTACATGCCTGGGTTTCAGGTTTGGTCCATCCCAGTTGGGCGCTTGTGAGAGGCAACCAATTAATTGATGATTCTCTTACACATTGATGTGTTTCTCTCCCTCTCTTTCTTCCTCCCATCCTCTCTCTAAAAATGAATAAATAAAATCTAAAAAAAAGAGAATAGTGTTTTATATTCATATTTTTGTGTACTAATGAATGTGAGCTTTTCATATATTTTAATACTTGCTTTCTTGCTTTCCTTCCCTTTTCATTGACATGGAAGGTTCTTCCACGTGTTTTAGGGCTCTGTGTATCTTAGCCCTCCCTCTCCACCTCTCATGAGTGTGTGTCTGTTCTCTGTGTCATTGGCTTTCCAGTCTCCCTAGTGCTGTTTCATTACTGTCGGCATTTATAATTTTTGTGTGAACATCTGCCCGTTGCTCTTCTTGTGGTCCATCTCTGTTAATCTCTGATAGCCATTTTTTCCTTTTGATGTATTAGTGTTTTCATTTTTGTAATAGTTGTGAACAAGAATCAGAATCTAGTTTTATTTCTGAACGTTCAACCAACTATATCAGATAAAAGTCATCTCTCTTTCCAATGGTTACTAGCGCTGTATTTTTTCTTGTAGATTAAACTTTTATGTGTACCAAATTTGGTTTCTGGACTTTTACTTTTCTTTGGTGTTGGTCTATTTTTGTTCCAAAACCACATTTCTGATTTTGTAGCTTTTTAATCAAAATTGTCACCATCCTATTTTGGTAAACACTTTCTTGCTGTTTGTCCTATCTTGCTAATATTGCTGAATAATGAGGTATATCTACAATTTAAAACAAGCTGGTTAAAAAATAGGAAAAGCAACCCATTAGAAAATAGAAAAATGAGCAAGGACTATGAACAAGGGTCTCAAAGAAGAAAAAAGCCCATTGGCTAATGAACCCATAAAGGGATTTTCATGGAGGGAAGGGCAGTTCCAGGACTGTGGGACCCATGCTGCATTCCCACTGAGGGGCCAGAATCTTCGACCTTGGACAGCCCCAGTGCTGGTGGAGGCATGTTTCCTGTCAGTGGGCACATTTCCCCAGTGGTCAATGACTCTCCTGCCCTAGAACCACACTGGCACATGTGGGGAGACAGACAAGAGTTCACTGAACCGTTGCTGGCAACAGCAAAGGACAGCCGGCTGCAAGCTACCATGGTAGGAAAGTGATAGGCATCTAGTAGAAACCATACTTTCGGATTTAGATGTTTTTCCAGGCAAGCCATGTGCAGGAGGATGCTTTCTTATGGTGCTGGGGAGTACAGTGAGCGCAGCTGGCCAGCCGCACGAGCCCGGGGGCCAGCAGCCCGTTCTTTGCAGTGTGGTGTTACATGCATTTCCAACTTAGGTTGTTTTCAACTTACAATGGTTTATTGGGATATAAAACCCTATCCGGGTCGAGGAACATCTGTACTGGGAAAAACCTAAACATTATTGACAAAAGAATGGGTAAAATCACCACACTGAAATCCTACACATCAGTTTAGTGAACTGGACCTACATAGATGTATGTGAATAAACCTTAAACAGAAGCTCAGCATTTCAAAACATATGAAACAGTGCTTTGATGGCGTTTCAAGCTCTATTCAGAGGTAACTGGAGTTTAAAAGACATGCACTGAATAGAAACACCAAACCCAATCAGCAGCCTCCCTCTGGGAGGGTCTGGAGGTGGGGCTGCAGGCAAGGGAAACTCAGAGATCAGCCAAAGCGTCTGCAACCCACCCACCTTGCCCTTCCAAAGAAAACCAAAAGCAAAGACTAACCTGTTTACAATTTTTGTATCTTAGAGACAGGCACATGAGTATTTGGTTTCAGTTAGGGTGAGTCCACAGACACTGGAGAAAGGCGTAAAGAAGAAGCCTGACGCCTGATTCTGCTAGTGTGTTCTTCGTTCTTTCACGCACACTCTTTCTTGCCTGCACAATCATCCCTGATGATTTCCTTAGGAAATGTCCTGGAATTGGAATTACTGAGTCACAGGGTGTACTTGTTACTTTCTCCCAAAAATTACTTAGAAACTTCCTCAAGGACCCAGGAGAGCATTACACTTAATCTCTTTTTTTTTTTTCTGATGGGAAGCATATGACTGCTGTCACATAAACATGAAACTATTGAATTTCACTTGTATACCTGACGATTGACATTTAAGGACCCAATTTATGTTTAGCAAGATTCCTAAGGCCCACTAGAGAGCTTTCACCCAGCAATACCCAATCCTAACTTCTTGTCACAGTCACCTGTAAGGGTCTTCATAACTTTTTTCCTTGAAAAGGTAATACTATGTCATAGTTCAAAAGACACTAAATGGTCTTATTGAACCCATGCTGAATTATTCTAATGTAGAGCAGTTTCTAGACCATTTTGACTGACAGTTCTTTGTCACATGGGGCTGCAAAAGACACAGACACTTGTTGGGGTAATGTATTGTGATACCTGCAAGTCCCCAGTGACCTGGGGGATGAGTAACATGCCCACCATCCTATATGAGAGACGGGGAACGTGACAAGTAGGTGAGCCAGGAACTCGGTGGCTCTATTTGAAGTCTATTTGACTGTGCCCTTTGTGCCCATTGTTCTGCTGTCTTCTGTCTCCGGGTGAATGTGGGAAAACCTGTGCGTGTGGGGGAGGGGGCCAAGGCACCAGGGGACATCTGCTGAAACTGTCCTTTACCAACCCTGTCTCCCCGCGTACACACCTGATCCCAGCCCCAGCATAGCCATTGAGTAAGTGGTGATGGTCTAGAGCAGCAACTTTCAACCTTTTCCACCTCAGGGCACACATGTATACTAATTACTAAATTCTGTGGCACACCAAAAATATATTTTCCACTGATCTGACCAAAAAAAACAAGTACATTTTTCATTCATTCATTCATACCAGATGACTATTGTTGTGTTGGCTGTTGTCATTTTTTTATTTGACAATCTGAGGGAAAAGAGGTCAGTGCAGCTGACTTAGGTAGTTCATGTTTTAAAAATTCATATGGCGCACTGGTTGAAAGTCATTGGTCTAGAGTTGGGCAGATAAGAGGACATGTATGTACAGTATTATGAACTTTTTTATTTTTTAGACAGATTTATTATACAATACTATATGGGTTGTACTTTTCCCCTAAAATTTTATTTTGAAGTCCTTTCTAATGGACTGTATAAAGGAATTATTTTTTACAACCCAAAATGGTATTTTATTTTAAAGGCTTTGTAATTGTAGAAGGTATGTCCCTTGTTAAGCCAATATCCAGGGAACGTATTTGCAGACAGTTCCTCCACCCATATGTTAGTGAGTGGCACACAGTCACTGACATGCTCAGTAGAGGTACAATGTATGCTTGTTCTTCTGGTATTTGACAGTGTGAACAGAAATGTCTGCTCAACCAGGAGTTCTCTATCCTTCACATCTTCCTTCTCCCAAATATTCTTTCAAATAATTAAGGTTCCAGATTAATTTTTCAGTGACATCTTTTGTTATCATCAATCTGTTGTCACATTAATATTTATAGGAGGTTTGAGATCCTAATACTTCATGCTTCAATGGGCAAAGATCTGTGTTTTCATTTTGTAAGGAACTTCTTTATTTTTAGGATTTCCTGGTATTGTATGGGTATCCCACCATTCTTTAAAATTAAGGTTCATTTGACACATTCCCTTGGTGGGTGACTCGAAGTGTCAGAGAAGCCTCCCAGCTGTACCTAACCCCAGGTCCCACTGGGAAGCTGCTGGCCAGTCTGTGTGTTGGGCAGCCCAGGGCACTTTGTGCACAGGTGCTTTCCATGTGACACACACTCGGAGGGCTTCCTCAGTGCAGAGGCCCACGTTCCTTCCCACAGGAGTGCTCGGCCTGGTAGGGTGTCCTGGGCTTAGTCACTACTCTGATGATAGGCAGAGAGAGCTCATCTTTGGCCTCTGTTATCTATGATCATCAGTGCTGCAGTGAAGGGGCTTGTACAGACAAACTCTAAAAATGGAACATCGCCTTGCCAGCAGGGTGCCCAAGTGGCATGATGGCCACAGTCCTCGAGGCAGGCCTGGGACTGTGCGCATGTGTGCTGCCGGCACTGAGCAGCAGAGCCTTTTTCGCCACACCTCTGGCCACTGGTGAGTCCTCTCAGTTCAGATTTGGCCAAACCCGGTAGGAACAAGGTGGATCCCAGGCGAGTCCCAGAGAGCAACCCTCTGCGAGCTCCCTATCATGCGCACATCACAGGGGTGTGCATGCCCTCAGCCCCAGCTTATCCCTGGACTGAGGCATCCATGTTCTCCTATGATTTCAGAAGCGGGTATCACCTTTTGAGGACATGATCTTCTGCTTCTCAGAAGAGGACTGGTCCCTTCTAGATCCTGCTCAGACTGGCTTCTATGGGGAGTTCATCATCGGAGAGGACTATGGGGTCTCGCTGCCTCAAAGTAAGATGTCCTTCGGCCCTCTCCTGAGACCAGGGACATGGAGGGCCTGCATCTGATCTTGCTCACCACCCCACAATGCTGATGGGAGGTCACCTGCACTCAGTGACCCCAAGCACACTGAGCAGAGGAGCCTTCACGTGTAAATTAGGCTTGCTGGCTGTTTTGTATACAAAACCAAACATAACAGGTTCCTCTGTATCACTATTCTCTCCCTTTGATCCTGCGCCTCTTCACGTGTGGCCCCCTAATTAATGCATGGGCCTGGAAGAGCTGCCCCAAGCCCATGGCGTCCGCCCTCCCTGCCTGCTCCAGCTTTTCTGCATCTCTGCAGCCCTGCATGGCCCTCTCACTGCTGTGGCCTGTCCTGGGTCCTTCTGGATCCCTGAAGAAGATGTGTCCTCCCCTTTTCTGTGAACAGATGACCCAGCAGCCCAGCTGGACCTCTCCCAGGGGGAGGAGAATGAGCCACGTGTTCCAGAGCTGCAGGACCTGCAGGGGAAGGATGCTACCCAAGTCTCCCACTTGGGTGAGTCATGATTCCACCACTGGGTGGACAGAGTGGAGTGGTAGGTGCTACTGGCCAGAGGTGGACCACTCCTTGCCATCTCTCTACATCCCTCTTTATACCCAGACTGTCTTCGTAGAACACATCTTGTCTCTTCCCTGACTCCTCACAGAAAGAATGTAGGTTTTTATTTTGGCAGGTGTGGGGATTGCACTCCCTCAACCAGGGACTAGGACACAATGGGAATATATTTGTCCTCTGCTGTGAATAGCACTTGGTCTGTGCTGACATGCCAGTAGCCCCTCCACAAGTGAGGTCTCACCCCTCTTAGGTCAGGGAGAGAAGGAGGACCAGGCACAGGACCTCCAGGTGTCTCATCCTCTAGTCCTTCCACCATGTACTACAGGTGAGGAAACTCGGGCATGGGGTGCTGGGGCTCGGCTGACAACAGCACTGCTCAGCAGCAGCATTTCCCAGTCCCCCTGCCCTGGGCTTTTTGTGTCACCAGAACTTGAGTTTTAACCACTCTGCCATAATACCTTGAGAAACTGCCCCTTTAAGACAAAAAGCTTCGTATGGCATCAGTGGCAGCCCACACCCCTTCCCCTACAGGAACTGGAGCCAGCACAGTTCAGTCAGGTGTGGCTCCCCACCTCCCCTGGAACCAGCATGCAGGCCTCTTGAGAGGCCTGCTCCCTGCCTTGTCTGCCCCGACAGGCTCTGCCGCCTGTGTCTCTGCAAAGGGGGGCACTGGGGCCTGAGAAATCGCACCACAGAAGTGGAAATGACCATGGGGCAGGCACTCATTCACAGTCACGTAGGCAGGGCAGAACCAGGACCCACACCAATGCCATCTAGCTTCAGAGCCCGTGTCTGTGGTGTCAGCCGTTTGTCTACAAATTCATTTTATCTACAAACACTGATCAAGGGGCTGCCCTTGGGTCACAGTCTGGCATCTGTTAAGAGGCCCCCTAGGTAGTGCTGCAGCTGCACAACAAATTCACTTTTCCATTTTCTCTGGAAAGACTTTCCAAGTCTCCAGCCAATCCTGGTGGAAGAAAGAGGAAGACGGGAGGAGCTGCAGGTGCCAGAACTCCAGGCCTGCCAGCAGATAGCTCTTGTGCAGAGCACCTGCCCAGGTAAGGAGAGCCTGGGAAGGCATGGGGTGTACCCTGTGTGTGTGTATGTGAGTGTGTGGTATGTATATATGTGCACCTGTGTGTGCAGATGTGTGGTGATGGCATGTGGTACATGTGTGATGTCTGCTATATGGCAGGTTACGTGTGTGGTGTGCGATTTTTCTGTGTGTGCCATGGAAGTGTGCACGTGTGGCATGTGCGTGCGTGTTTACTGTTGGGGATAGGGCCAGGGATTGAACTCAGGTCCCTGCCAACCCACCGATTGTCAGCCAAAGGTGCTGATTCCCTTTTACTAGGGTCTCTCCCAGCTGAGCTCCCACCTACAGCCCTCCCCTTGTGGCCTTCCCATGTAGGCTGAAGCAGGTGTGCCATGGCGCTGCTGGCCATGTAGGAATGTGTTTCTTACCCAAGCACAGGGCCAGAATCCTGGGCCAAATCTTGCACCTAAGAGCAGGGTTGTGAATGCCAAAGTGAAGGGACACTGGAGAGCATGTGCCTCGCCTGCCCTCACAGGTGGCCCACACACATTTGCACTCCAGGTCATGTTAGTAAAAGTCACCACTTCCAGAGGCAGACTAAAATATAACCAGCCATCTTTTTGGGTTTTTTTTTAATATATTTTATTGATTATGCTATTACAGTTGTCCCATTTGCCCCCCTTCATTCCCTTCCACCCAGCACACTCTCTCCCACGCACATTCCCCCCCTTTAGTTCACGTTCATGTGTCATAAGTTCTTTAGCTTCTACATTTCCCATACTATTCTTGCCCTCCCCCTGTCTATTTTCTACCTACCATCTATGCTACTTATTCTCTGTACCTTTTCCCCCTCTCTCCTCCTCCCACTCCCCTGTTGCTTAACCCTCCATATGATCTCCATTTCTGTGGTTCTGTTCCTATTCTAGTTGTTTGCTTTGTTTGCTTTTGTTTTTGTTATTGTTTTAGGTGTGGCTGTTAATAATTGTGAGTTTGCTGTCATTTTACTATACATGTTTTTTATCTTCTTTTTCTTAGACAAATCCTTTTAACATTTCATAAAATAAGGCCTTGATGATGATGAACTCCTTTAACTTGACCTTATCTGAGAAACACTTTATCTGCCCTTCCATTCTAAATGAAAGCTTTGCTGGATAGAGTAATCTTGGATGTAGGTTCTTGCCTTTCATGACTGGGAATACTTCTTTCCAGCCCCTTCTTGCCTATAAGGTCTCTTTTGAGAAATCAGCTGACAGTCTGATGGGAATTCCTTTGTAGTTGACTGTCCCCTTATCTCTTGCTGCTTCTAGGATTCTCTCCTTTATTTTAGTCTTGGGTAATGTAATTATGATTTGCTTTGGTGTGTGCCCCCTTGGGTCCAGGTTCTTTGGGACTCTCTGAGCTTCCTGGACTTCCTGGAAGTCTATTTCCTTTGCCAGATTGGGGAAGTTCTCCTTTGTTATTTGTTCAAATAACTTTTCCACTTGTCGCTCTTCCTCTTCCCCTTCTGATACCTCTATAATTCGGATGTTGGAACATTTAAAGATGTTCTGGAGGTTCCTAAGCCTCTCCTCATTTTTTTGAATTCTTTTTTCTTCATTCTTTTCTGTTTGATTGTTTCTTTTTCTTTCTGGTCCACTCCATTGATTTGAGTCCCAGTTTCCTTCCTATCACTATTGGTTCCCTGTGCATTTTCCTTCATTTCACTTAGAGTAGCCTTCATTTTTTTCGTCTAATTTGCAACCAAATTCAACCAATTCTGTGAGCATCCTGATCACCAGTGCTTTGAACTGTGCATCTGATAGGTTGGCTGTCTCTTGGTCTCTTAGTTGTATTTGCTGTGGAGCTTTGATCTGATCTTCTGTTTGGGCCATTTTGTTTTTCTTTTGGTCTGGTCGCACCTGTTATGTAGTGAGGGACAGAGCCTTAGGTGTTCGCCAGGGCGGGGCAACCCTCGTGGCTGGGTTGTGACGCTGTATTTGGGAGCAGGGTCCGAGAGGGAACTATGGCACTTGCTCCTCTCCGTCGGATTTCAGTCCCTTCTGCCACTTTCCCCAAGCAAACTGGGCCTTTCTGGTGCTGATTCCCATGTGGGTGGGTTTGTGTATGTTCTAGGATCCTGTGGGTCTCTCCAATGCACTCTCCTGGGAGGCTGGGAGTATCTCTCTGTGCCTCAACCCCCACAAGGTGTTTTCAATCAGTGTCCCGAGGTTCTGTTTCCCGGCACTGAGACCCTGAGTTGCACAGTCTGTCTTCCTGCCCAATATCACCTGGTTTATCTGCGCGAGAATGTGGAATCGCCCAGACAGCCAGGTGCCTTGCGCACAGTGCCTTGCTTCACAGTCGCCCCCTCGGTGGGTCTGCCAGCTGCCTGTACGCCCAGGGTCCGCCCACTGCAACCTTGCACCCGGGATGCCTTACACACCCGGTGCCACAGTTTTGTGCCTCGACCCCTCTCCGCCCAGCTGCCCAACTCCACCCCTCTTACAGGTCTAGATGAATGTGTCTATTTTAACTCCTTGGTTGTCTGACTTCCATACAGTTCAATTTTCTGTCAGTTCTGGTTGTTATCTTGTTTTTAAATTGTTGCTGACCTTATTTTGGTTGTGCGAGGAGGCACAGTGTGTCTACCTGCGCCTCCATCTTGCCAGCCATCTTTGATGTCCTTGTTGTTCAGGGGTTCTTCCAAGCACCAAACCTGAGTCTCTGGTTCTTTTTTTTCTTTCTTTCTTTCTTTCTTTCTTTCTTTCTTTCTTTCTTTCTTTCTTTCTTTCTTTCTTTCTTTCTACTTAAAAAAAATTCCAGTTGATACTTACCTGGCAGGGGAGATACCATGATGACGAAGGTGGCTTTTGCAAGACGAGGCTTATCCATTGCACTCCGGATGTGCTAACCCCTGTGATTTCCCCAAATGTGGGAAACTCGACTACATAATTTGTGGTGTGGGGGACTGTGTTCACACTCTCCCCTGAAAAAAAAATAAAATAAAAATTCTGGTTGACATAAAATATTATATTAGTCTCTGGTTCTTACTTGAACCTACTGTGTCATGGAGACTGCCCACAGCTGTGGGTACTGACTCACACACAATCTGTTTACCCGAGATGCCTTTTGGAGCAAGATTTGTCTGTTATTGTAATTGCACCCAGCACTATACAGGGCTCAGTGCCACTTCCCTTCACCCTGTCAGGTGTAGACAAAATGGGTTTTAGGGTTACAACAGATCCAGAAGGAAGATGGCCCTTGCCCACACACTTGGAGCTCCCTCACCACTGGTTTTCGGAGGTGCCTACTACAGGCCAAGGGTGGCCCCTCCCCAGGCAGAGCACAGGCAGCTCAGTGTCCTGGACGAATGCTTGCTGCTTACTACGTGCTGTCCCATGTGTACTTGGGGCTACCTCCACCCCTACCTTCCCACAGCAGCCTCACGCTAGGCAGGGTGGGAGGTAGTTACCCAGGGGCTTCCAGCCACTCTTGCCCTTCCTGGGCTCTGACACAGAATACATACTGAAATGTCCAGAATCCCAGGTTGCCTGAGGACAGGAGAGAGGATATCAGAGGATAGGCATTGTCTTTATTTCAGTAGCTTCTGCCACTCCCTCTGACAGCAGCTGAGGCGTCCCTGTCTCCACCTCGGTGGAGACTCATGCAAGAACCAACCCCCGCTCCCTGCCACTGCTATCCGTCGGTGCCACACTGACCAGCATTAGAATGCTGCCCTGAGTTGGTTTCTCTGTGGATCAGGTAGTTATTGTTTAGTTTCTATTTTTGCCTGTTCCTCCTTTACCCTGGGTAAGCTCTGTTTTCGAGCCCCCCAGAGTATGGTCCTCATGAGGTTTTATGTACTGTTTCTGTACAGTACCTTCTGAAGTAGGTAGGTACTATCTCAGTCAGACTGGCTCATGGAGCAAAAGCCATTGACAGGGCAGCTGAAATAGCCCATCTCTCTCCTACAGTGTGGAGGTGGGTGAGCCTGAGACTGAGGCCCTGGCAGAGTCCAGAGTAGGGTGGGCTCTCTACCTCATGGCTGCCTTCTTGCCCTGTGCTCCCCGGGCCTTGTCCCAGTGTGTTCTGTGTGGGGGAGGGCTCACTCCTCACTTGTGTTCTTGCTCACTCATGCTCTTCAGCTTCAAGACATATCTAACCCTAATCACCTGAAGGCTCCACTTCCTAATACCACCTCAGAGGGAGAGGGCTTCAACCTACACATTTTGTGGGGGGGCACAAACAACCTATAGCAGGTCCTCTGATGTCTCCATTCTGCCGTGGCTGTCAGACTGCAGAGCTGAGGGAGCCAAATGCGGCATCAGACCCAAGGCCTGGACTTGAGTCCACTCTGCTAAGCAATGGTTTACTGTTTCTATGCAATCAAAATTATGGTTCTGAGTCCATTGCCTCTTATTTGCACATAGTTCCTCCCATTTTTCTTTTTGTAAAATTCATGGGTTGTCTCAGCACATTTGTTTTTCACATTTTTTGCCCAAAATGTTATTTATTTATTTTTAGAGAGAGGGGAAGGGATGGAGAAAGAGGGGGGGGGAAATATCCATGTGTGGTTGCCTCCCGTGTGCCCCCTACTGGGGACCTGGCCTGTAACCCAGGCATGTGCCCTGACTGGGAATCAAACCAGTGACCCTTTGCTTCACAGTCCAGCACTCAATCCACTGAGCCACATTAGCCAGGGCAGTTTTTCAGTTTTAAAATGTAATACTCTATTCATCTTTTGGTTTTATGTCTTGTAAGAAAGCCTCCTGATCCTAACATGACAAAACATTTTTATAATGTCTTTTTGGTTTTTTCCCCCTTGGCTTCCTGCCCTCCCCACTTCTCTCCTCTGCCCCTCAAGCTCAAGGGGAGCACCCATCATCTATTCCCAGCGCACGGGGTGCTGTCCTTGAGGAGTTTGCGCTAGCCTAGCACAAGTCTTGCCCAGCTCACAGAGCACTGCCACAGGCTTCGGTGTCCCCAATCCCGATTGAGCTCAGTTCCCCTCGCAGCCAGGGCAACTTCTCTCTCTCTCTCTCCTTTAAGTTTTTTCCTCTAAAACAGAAATGGGAATCAGAGCTGCCTTCTTGGGTTATTGTTTGAAGATTACACCATTTAATATGTATGCAAGCATGCAGTCAGACCACAAGTCTTTACTGTTTTCCTATTAGCCTAGCAGCCAATTCAGAGGATTCCCCCACTGCCCCGCACAGCCCCTTCTGAACTCATCACTGCTGAGCTGAAGCTTCCTGGTCTTACTCTTTGGCTGGTGTTTTGGGAACACCTCCATCCCACCTTATCTGGTGGGAATTACTACCTGTGTGTGGATGGCCTGCAAGAGCACTAACCGTTGTTTATGCCCCTTTTTTAGCAACCCTGCATTTGTCTTTGGCCACGTTTGCCGATGAGGGAGGGCTGTTCCCTGTGCACAGTCTCCTAAGGCTCCCACACCACAGGGCCACAGATGGGGAGACTCAAACAGCAGGAATTATCTTTCTCAAAGTCCTGGAGGCTGGAGCTCTGAGATCTTGGTGTCAGAAGTAGGGGTGAGGTCGCTGTCCTGCAGCCTCTCTTGGTCTGTAGATGGCCAGCCGTCTTGTCCCTGTGCTTCCACGCGGTTGTCTCTCTGCACTTCTGTGTCCTAATCTCTTCTTGTAATGTGTAATGATGCCGGTTGGATTAGGTCCCACCCTAAGGATCTCACTTTAACTTAATTACCTCTGAAAGAGCTGAACTCCAGATATCCTATTTAGGTATATGGGGTTATGACTTCAGCATAATAAAAATCTTTAGGGGGTGTAATTTAGCTCTTAACACTCCATCCTCTGGTCCCCCCAAATCCATGTCCTTCTCAATGCACAATACATTCACCCTCTTCCCACAGCCTCCAATGTCATAACCTATTCCAGCATCAACTCTAAGTGACCTCATTGCTTTCCTGTAGCTGGAGGTGACTCAGCACCCCCCAAGGACAGCCTGGATGAGGAGGTGACCATCGAGATCGTTCTGTCCAGCTCTGGGGACGAGGACTCCCAGCTAGGCCCCTACTGCACAGATGAGCCGCGGAGCCCCACAGGGAAGCAGCTTGGCACCCCCACCCCGCAGCAGAATGGTGCCCCGCTTGGGGGCGAGGTGCACACCTCAGGGAAATCCTACGTGTGCCCCAACTGTGGTAAGGTCTTCCGCTGGAGGGTCAATTTCATCCGGCACCTGCGCAGCCGCAGGGAGCAGGAGAAACTGCACGAGTGCTCGGTTTGCGGGGAGCTGTTCAGTGACAGCGAGGACCTAGACGGGCACCTTGAGGCCCACGAGGCCCAGAAACCTTTCAGGTGCGGCGCCTGCGGGAAGAGCTTCCGCCTCAATTCCCACCTGCTCTGCCACAGGCGTGTCCACCTGTCGCCTTCCGGGCCCCGGCCGGTGATGGGAAGCGAGCAGGGGGCGGCGGGGCCGGACATACCACTGGCCGAGGGCAGGGCCCGGCTGAGCGCCCAGTGCTGTGACTGCGGTAAGCTGTTCCAGCGGCCTGAACACCTGGCGAGGCACCGCAGCAGTGTGCACGGCAAGGACCAGGCACGGCCTTTCCGGTGTCGGTACTGCGTCAAAACCTTCCTGCACAACTCCGACCTCCTGCGCCACCAGCGCCTACACATGAAGCGCCGCTCCAAGCAGGCGCTCAACTCCTACTAACGGAGGCCAGACCCTCCCAGGACCAGGATGGACCTGCCCCAGGACACACCTCATCCTCCTGCCCTTTGCTCTCAGGTAGAAATGAGATAGTGGCCAACTGAGCATTTCTTCTGTCTCTGCTGTGACAAAAAGCAGGGAGGAAGGCACGCAACCAGCTTGGACTAGCCCGGTCTCTCTGGGTCCTAGAGAACCTCGTTCAGTGCTTCCCAAGCAGGCGGAGGGACTGCGCTGCTCCAACTGCCATCACCCCTTGGGGTCTATCCCTTGCCACAATTCACTTCATTGCCAGGCAGCCCTGTTGGAACATTCACCCCCATCCTGAGGTTCCAGGGTAACCACTTCCCATCTGAGAACAAGAAGTTGTGGGCAGGTAATGGCTAGAGAGAGGCTCTGGGGAGCAGGGCCCGGCCCACCTGGCAGACCATGTTGCCAGCAGGCCTGAGGAGCACCCCCTGTTATGCGGCATTCCTTTCAGGGTTGGGATCCCCCCACCCCCATCCCCAGGGCACTGTAAGCTCCTCACAGGGGAACTGTGTCCTACATTTATTTGTGATGGTGGCTGCTTATTAGGGATTGTTAGGTCACTGAGGGCAATACCCCATTTTAAACTATGTTGCACCCCCTGCCCAATGTCATTTCTGTGTACCCTGAACGTCCTGGTAAATGGTGTGGGGTGAAAACAGTTGTCATCATGTGAGAGGCACTTAAGTTCCCCTGTCTGGGCCATTGTGTCGGGAATGGGGAGCTCAGGCCCAGTGAAGAGTCCTGTTGTCTGGGTGAGGGGCTGTGTGGAGCAGCCCCCTGTGAGGTCAAGCTCTGCATACACATTAACTTGGCTACTGTTTGTATTCTTTTGCTAGAGCTGCCTTAAGAAAGTACCAAAAACAGGTGGCTTAGAACAACAGAAATGTATTGTCTCATTTCTGGATGCTGAAAGTCCAAGGTCAAGGGGGCGGCATGTTGGTTCCTTGCAAGGGAGAGTTTGTTCTACACCTCTGCCCCAGCTTCTGGGGGTTGCTGATGGTCGATATTCCTTATAAAGCATCAACCCATCTCTGCCTTCATCTTCACATGGTGTCCCTGTGTACATACCTGTCTCCAAATTTCTTTCCCCTTTTTATAAGGACACCCATCCCATATTGGACCCATATTGCACCAGGGCACCGCTGCCTACACCGGTGTATTCCTGTCTTAACTGGCAATATCTGTGGTGGTGACTGTATTTCTGAGAAAGGCTGCATTCTGATGCACTGCAGTCAGGACGTAAATATGAATTTAGGATGGCAGGGAGACAATCCAATCCACAACGCCAGACCACTCATCCCGGATGGACAGATGACTCAGTAGACATTTGAGATGGCTGGCTCCCCACCCCACTGGAAGCAGCAGAGCCGTGAAAAGGCGTGGCCTGGAGTTCTGGGTTGGGAGGAATGTTGCGTTGAGGCCTCCAGCCATGTAAACCATTGGCCAGGTTCAGTGTCAAGAAAGCACAGGGGCTGTGCAATGGTGGTTGAATCACAGCCGTCAGGTGTGCATTTTGTGTTATTTGTATGTCAAGTCCATTGGCAGGCAGCCAGACTCCTTGTCACTCATGTCATTTTCACACTGAGATGCCACTGCCACAAGCCCAGTGGAAGAGCCACAGGTTTTTCTAATTTTGATGACTGTGCCTGTGTAGACATACCTACACACTGAGAAGCAGTACATGCAACAAAACTGTCAGGTCAGACCCTGGACAAGAAATAAACATGGGGGCTCGTCATTTCTAAGTAGTTGGCCTCTTTTATTGATTGCCAGGAAAGGGAAAGATGAATCCTGAAGGCCATGGGAGGGGAAAATTCCAGTAGAAGCCAGGCTATGTATTTGCCCCACTCTCCTGCACTCTTGCCCAAGAGCTTGTCAACCAGAACGTTACTGTCCGTTTGCTTCAGACATTTGCCTAGTGGAGGAACATTGCTCTACTTATTGCTGTGTCTTGCCTGTAAAACCAGATCCTAAATAAGAGAAACAACGGGGATATAACTGCAGGAGTGGGGAACCCCTGCACCCTCCAACCCAACACACCCTGGAGCCTACCTAGTTAGAAGCTCGCATCACTTAGGATTAGTTTTTATGACAAAGGATAAAAGTGAGAACAACAAAAAGGAAGGGATGCACTGGGTGAGAGAGGGGATCCAAAGGCAGAGCTTCCATGCCCTCCACCCTGGAGTTGGGTGCAACTGCTCCCAGCCCAACTCAGCCCATGGGCTCCACTGAGCTGTCCTGAGTTGTTATCACCTTTCATGACGACGCCCCAATGGTTGATCCCACCTCCAGTCTCCAGTTCCCTTGGCTCCCCTCCACTCCCCAGAGACTGGCCTGGCATAAAGTCCCAACTCTAATCATGAATTTGGTCTTTCTGGTAATCAGCACTCCTCCCTGCCCCCCCCCCATCCTACTCCCCAGTGTTCACCTCTTTAGCATAACAAAGACATTCCAGAAATTTCAAGGGTTCTTGAAGTTCTGTGCCAGGAACCAGAAGCAGAGACTGGATATACTCTTTATTGTGCTGCCCTGACTTCAGAGAGTATGCAGGGTGCCTGCCCCACTCTGCTCCCAAGTCCCAGCTGTGGCCATCTGTCCCATTGCCTCGTTGCCCTTCTTTGCTGGCTTCAGCCACCAAAGCTTGCTCACTTAAGAACGCCAGCTCGCTGGTTTCTCAGAAAGCTGCTTTGATGTCCAAGACAGCACTAAAAGCCCAGTGAGAACTGTACTAACCCTGGAATGGGAGTTTCCTAGGAACACCTGCTCTTAGTACTTTTGACAAGCTGCGATTTTGGGCAGCTAAGGAAATTACACAATTAGAGACTAGGAGAACAAAGAGGCCTCTGTTAGGATTTTATTCAAAGATGGTAGACACCTCTTTAATGATATGTGGCTTCATATCCCAGGCACTGTGTGTGTGTGCACAGTGGGGCCTGCAGAGGGGCCTGCAGGTCAGCTTCATAACTCCAGTGGACAGCTAAAGAATCCAGGAAGGAATATATACAAGTGTGTTACCCGTCCAAAGCCTGTGTGCCTGATGTGTCAAAAGGTCAAAAACTCTGATGTTTTCATCAGAGTTTGCAGTAAGGAAAGTCATACTGATTGAGAAGAGAGCTCGAGTAGTTCATCAAGTTCAGAGTTCAGGCTGCTTTCATGTCGAGGGGAGGGGAGGGGCTGTCTGTGTGAAACTCAAACTGCAAACAGACTTCTTGTGATCAGCATGTCTACATTCAAAACAGTTTTGAACAGGTGGAGTCAGAGGGAGACCAAGCATTTCACTCTGTTACAGGTGAACATCTCCTGCATTGACCTTGAAATCCTAAACATTGGTAACCAGAGACAGCCTTCCAAAAAGAATCTTTGCAGACCTGCTTCTCCACCCTCAAGGAGCTGGTCTTGTGAGGTCAGGTGTTACAGGTGGTGGGCTGGAGGCCAAGTGATTTTAGATGTGCTGTATGCACCCGCTTTCCTCTGCCCACAGCAAGGAGTGTCCAACTCCTCTGCCTATCTCAAGAGACTCATGAAATCTAAAGTGAATGGACATGTGAGGAGTGGTGTTAAACACTGGGCCACAGTCATTGAACCTCTGCCTTAGATGCACACCTGATGGGGCTGCTGGAAGCAGCAGGGCTGCAGTTCCCATCCATAGTTCACTCCCTTGGCCTGTGGTAAACTTGGATTCTAATTGTGAGAAGTGGAGCCGGAGGTAGACACCGGGGCTTCAACAGCAGTCAGCCCACCTGATTCCTCCAGTCCACAGCTGTGGGAACACCCACATAGGTGGGTTTTAGAAACATGGTCTCTTCAAGCCTTTTTAGATGGTTTGTTTGTAAATTCTTCACTGGCCTAAAAAGGAGAAATATATTGAACACTTCAATTTACTGGGCTGCATTCACCAAGATTTAAATATGACTGGAGTACTTTTCCATAAGGCCCACTTTTTTGTTGCTATTGGTGCAGGATCTTCCTGATGCTGCATTGCAAACAGCTCTCAGCAAAGTAGCATGCACACAGGGGAGGCAGGCTCCACACCCCAAAGAGGCCAGAGTGAGGAAGCTGCTTCTAGCCCCGTTTTGAAGCAAATGAGGTGCAGAGGCTCATAAAACATGGAATTAGTTAGGCCGAGGTATGTGTGGTTGACCTGGTTTCCCCCTCCCAGGCAACAGGTCTCATGCATTTCTAGTCACCGCATGGTTTATCCACAAAACCCTGGAAGTCAGGAGCAACTTCCGAGTACCTCTCAGCACAGAAGTACATTATAAAAAGGCAAGAGAGAAATACAGGAAGGAGGTTTTTAAAAAAAAGCAATTTGCCTCATGGTGAGCCAGGAAGCCTTAGAATTTGAGGCTTGGGAGTACCTGGGTCAAGATCCTGGTATCAAGACTCCAGGACTGATTGGCTGAGTGATGCAGGACCATTCGGACCAGTGGCCATGGCTCCTGAGTGCCTTTCCTGGGACTCCCTTCTCTTCGAGTAGTGGCGAAGACTCCAGGACCTTCAATTCAGTAGGCTTCATTCTTAGGAGCGAATCCCAAGTTACAGCACGAAATCTTGGGAGAGAAAACATTCATTCAAAATTCCTGAGAACCTGGTATAAACAGGTAATAACAATCACGTGTCCCCAGGGCCAGCAAGAGAAGACACTGGGAAACTGTGGGGACAAAGGAGGCATATGCAGTGGGTTGAGTTGTGTCCTCCAGAGATATGTCCAGGTCCTAACCTCTAGAATCTATTAATGGGACTTTATTTGGAAAAAAGCCTTTTCTGATGTAATCCAATTAAAGTTCTTGAGAACAGATTACCCTGGATTCTTTGGTGAGCCCTAAGTCCCCTGACACATGTCCTTATAAGAGGAACAGATATGACAGTAGAGGAGACACACGGGGGATGGTCATGTGAAGATGGGGGCAGAGGGTGCAGTGGCATGATCACAAGCCAAGGACCTTTTGGAGCCAACAGAAGTTGGAAGAGGCAAGGAAGCATCTGTCCCTAGAGCCTTGAACACTGTGATGTCATGCTTCTGGACTTCAGAACTGTGAGAGAAGACATTTTTGTTGTTTTAAGCCACCCAGTTTGTGGCAGTTTATTACACCAGCTTCTGATGATTCCAGGCATCCCTTAGCCTGTGGCCACATTACTCCCAACTCGGCCTCTGTCTCCACATGGCTGTCTTCTCTGTGTCTCTTGACACCACACCATGGAAATTAGGAGTAGTCCAAGCAGCCCTGGTGCCCATGTCTCAAAATCCCTAACCTAGTTACATCTGCAAAAACTCTCCAATTAAGGGCACTTTCTTAGGTGACAGTGCTCAGGTCTTGACAGGGACCCCATTTGGGCCACTGCGGTGATCCTCAAGGATTTGAGGGGAGGAAACCAGCCAGGTGATCAGTAACCTATGACTCTGGCAAATCATACTGCCCTTGACATTCTGGTGTCCACAGTGAAACAATGCTCCCTCCAGAAATAGTGCTCCTCAGCCAGAAGTTCAATGTGAAAACGGAAAGAGACACAGTAAGTTACCAGAAGCCCTCCTTGGCAGGTGGGGACAATTTGGTTAACATTGTGTCTGAGATCAAAGACAATTTGTAGAAAGAACCCAGGATTTCTGCCCATGGGCAACATCACAGCTTTGCAACCTAAAGCAGTGAGGGACTAGGGGCCAGAGACAGGGAAACACCTCAGTGTATCCATCAGGATTCTCCAGAAAAATGGCAGCACCAGCATGTATACTTACACAAAAGAGCTTGATTCCAAGGAATTTGCTCACAAGATTGTGGAGGCTGGCAAGTCTAAAGCCCACAGGGCTAGCTGGCCAGTGGGGGACTCAGGAAGAGTTGCAGTTCCAGTCTAAACGCCTTCCACTGGAAGGATCCCTTTGTCTTTGTTAAGGCCGTCATCTTAGTTTGGGCTATTGTGACAAAAATACCATAGACTGGGTGAGTAAACAATGTTTCTTGAAACATTCATTTTTCACAGTTCTGGAGGCTGGGAATCTGAGATCGAGGCACCAGCAGATCTGGTGTCTGGTGAGACCCTACTTCTAGTT